TTTGTAATTTTTGTCCACTTTGACATACTTTCTTATGTAGGCCATATCTTAAGCTCTCAAACTTGAAATCAAACATTCTTAGTGTCCTTGGAAAGCTAAGATGGAGATCTACAATATCTCTATTGGGAGTTTCATCCAATTCATACACCTTGGTCCAAAAATTCACCACAAGTTTTCGCCTTTACACTTTATATTGGGCTTTCTTTAAGAAATTATTTTAGAAGTAGCTTAGTCTTGTTATTAGGTAATTAGTGGATTAGACTTGTAATTAGTCTTATTAGGCCCACTAATTTAGTCTATAAATAGCTGCTAAGAGACTTGTTTTTGTAAAATTTTGCACATTTTTCATATTTAGAAATTTTTCTTTACATTTTTTTTTCTAAATTCTCTCTTTTTGTCTCTCTCACAAATTCCTCTATCTCAACGATTTCATCACGAATTAATTGTAGCATCTTGATGGATGAGTGGCTAATCCTCTCGATCAATTCGAGATTCCATAAATTACGGTAAAATTTGAGTTCCGATTTAATTTTACCATAGAATTCTTTTTTCTATATCTAATTTTTTATTTTTAGGATTATGAACTACATTTCTATTAGATTTGGATCAAATTTGAAGTGTATTTTAGATCTACATCTAAAATTGTCTAAAATAAACGTTTACCACTCTTAGAATTTTACAAAAATTGTAATATCGAGATTGTATCTTGCGTTTTTATGAAATTCCATAGATCTAGAATTGTTGTTGTCTTTTTTCGACGTTAATTCTCTTCCTATCTTTGTCTTTTTTCTTTCTAATTTATAAAAAATAAAAAATAAACAAAAATAAACAACATAACAATATACATAAGCATAAAATTATGTAACCACTTGTCAATAGATATATCTAAGCATAAATTACTCGTCCAATTTTTAAACGAAGCGATCTCTTGATCTTTTTCTGTATAGAATCCAGTTTACATCTTAAGTTAAAACAAAAGGGTGAGTGACAAAACTGAAAGAGGAGGAAAAAAGTATTTCAAGCAGGGCTAGCTCAAGCATAAAGCAGCCCAAACTCTAGCTTTAGGCCCCCAAAAATATATTAGGCCGACTCGGTGTAAAATAGGCCCCAAAATATTTTTTCTACTTATAGAACTTAATGAATTAATTGTATCAATATTAACTTTAGTTTGTTGGTCATTGTCTAAGCCTAACATTGTAAAGACTGAGATTTGATCCTAATATTATAATTTTTTGTTGAAAGTTCCTTTTTTATGAGTGACTGTTAATTTTCTTGTCACTCTCTCATCTTTAAACTAAGCCCGCTTTCCAATTAATTCTTCTTCCCCCACTAAATCAGGCCCAAATTTTTAATGTTATTTATCCACTTTCCTATTAATTCTTCTTCCTCTCACTAAATTAAGCTCCAAATTATAAATGTTACGGACTAAACTTATTGTATTCTTCATCTTCTCTCCCTGCCTCGGTCCCTCTGCCTTTTCTCAATCTCTCTCTTGATTATAATAACTTATTAAGTGATTTTACATCCCAAAAGACTTGAAAAATAAATTTAAATAAAATCAAAATAAATTATTATTAGGCTAAAAACCTATTTTGGTCCCTTATAATCTTTTTTTGTTTCAATTTAGTCCCTCATTAATTTTTGGTCTCAAACTAATTAATTGGTTTCAATTTAGTCCCAAATTAATTAATTGGTTTCAATGTGTGACTTTCCGTCCAAATTGCTTTAACGGTATTAACTTTTGGCCACGTGGACGCCACGTAGATGCATACGTGGATGCCACGTGGATGAGAATTTTTTTGAAAACACCTGGACCCAGAACGACCCATTCTGAAACCGGAACGGGCCGTTCTTGGTGCACTTTTGGTGTATTAATTTTGCATCCGAAACGGCCCATTCCAGGTGCAAAATTAACACACTGAAAATGTAACCAGAACGGCCCGTTCCGGTTTCAGAACGGGCCGTTCCGGTTTTTTTTATATATATATATATAAAATATTAATAATTTTATAAAATATATATTATTAATTATATTTTAATTATGTTATTATATCCAATAAAATAAATATATTAATTTTTTTTTATATTTTATTTTATTATGTTTATCTTATTAATTTTTATCATTTTATTCCTTTAATCTTAAATAAGTTGCAAAAAATTATAAAGTGATATTCCTTTTATCTTATTAATTATTATATTTTTTAATAAAATTAATTAAGAATATTGGTTTAATTGCATTTTTTATCCCTCAAGTATTACAATTGTGCAGTTTTGTGATCTCCAAGATTTTAATTGCATAATTTTAGTCCTTAAAGAATTGCAATTGCGCGATTTTGGTCCTTCAATTTTTAATTGAACAATTTTAGTCCCTCAAATATCATAATAGTATGATTTTTGTTTCTCCCATTAAAAATTAATAATTTTAATATATATATATATATATATATATAATGTTTTAAAATTAAATAATTATTTATCTATTCAAATTAACGTATATTATAATTTTCGATATTATATCAATAATATTATTAATATATTTATAGATAAACTAATAATTTGATAAATATAACTTGTTATATATTAATATACTTTTACAAAAATATAAGTATATTAATTAGAAATATATATCTGATCTTATATATTTATATTTTTGTAAAAGTATATTAATATATATTAAGTTATATTTATCAAATTATTAGTTTATTTATAAAAAGGGTAAAAATATTATTGATATTAATTTATCAGTAATATTAAAATACTAATAATATATAAATTTTATTTATTTAGTAATAATAAATATATATCATTTGATACATTAAAAAAAAAATAATATACGTTAATTTAAATAAACAAACAATTATATAATTTTAAAATATTATATATATATATATATATTAAAATTTTAAAATTATTAAATTTTTAATGAGAAAGACTAAAATTGCACAATTATGATATTCGAGAGATTAAAATTGTTCAATTAAAAATTGTGAGACTAAAATTACATAACTATAATCTTTTAAGCAGAACGGGCCGTTCTGTTTTCAGAATGTCTCGTTCTACTTCACTGATGGTGTTTTAATTTTGCAACCAGAACGGCCGTTCCGGTTTCAGAACAGGCCGTTCCGGTCCAAGTATTTTCAAAAATAATTCTCACCCACGTGAATGCAACGTATGCATCTACGTGGCATCCACGTGGCCAAAAGTTAACTCCATTTAAATAATTTGGACGGAAGTCCCACATTGAAACTAATTAATTAGTTTGGAACCAATTAATTAGTTTGGAACCAAATTGAGACCAAAAATTAATGAATGACTAAATTGAAACAAAAAAAGATTATAAGGGACCAAAATAGGTTTTTAGCCTTATTATTATTAATTTTAAAAAAAATTAACTTCAAAATTCGTTTTAAGCCTCAAAAAATATGTTAGGCCAGCCGTGATTTCAAGACGCAAGCCCAGCCTCCAACAATGACTAACTCGACAATTTTCGAGTGCTTTAGTTTTTAAGCTCTTCTTTGAACCGCTCTACACGCCTTAACCGATTGTTGAAAGCAATTTAATTCAATAAATAATTCGGAGAATTGCTATTAGGTATGTGAATCTATGCAAACAAGCAAAAGACAGGTATCATAAATGAGATAAAACGAAAATATTCCAGATAAAAGTATAATTTAACACAAGAACGAATTCGTTTTCCGTATAATTTGACAAAGTCATTCTTCGTACTATTAAGTATTTCCCAATAGTTTGCTCTTTAATGATTTTAAACTAAGTTTATTTCTTTATATTTTCCCTCAACATTTTGAAAACCAACCACAACATTAGACCAAAAAAACCAATACAAAAAAGCACCTGTTATCCGAGGCAAATAAATTATCAGGCATTGATTCCCACCACCAAAATCCACACTTCCCCGACACAATTTCGTGCAAGTTAACGATCACAATCCTCCCTTTTCAAACCGCAAAGTTTAATGCCACTTAAAATTTCTGGATTCTCACTCCTCATTAAATTATAGTTGGAATTTACCATCCTCCTTTAATTAAAGTTACCCTTTTGCTTTATGATGCGCCACCCATATATAGTTGGATCCTGGAGTCCATGCAAGTGGGCCTAGTCGAATCCTTAATGAGTTCACGAGAGTTAATTTGATTAGGCCTGGGCAAAAACTTCTGGCCGATCCGAAACCGGCCAAACCGACGATCAGATCGGGTGAAGCGGATTAATTCTCAGGTATTTCGGATTTTTTCTGAAGCAAATTTCGGGTTCAAACGGGTTTTAACGGTCGGATTCGGTGTTAGAATTTTCTCATCCGATGCACCCGAATCCGACCGTTCGTCTTCACCGTTTATTTTCTCCGTCTCTTTTACTTCGTCTTCTTTCTTCTTCTTCTTCACTCCGTCTTCTTTCCTCTTCTTCTTCACTCCGTCTTCTTTCTTCTGCTTCTTTCTTCTTCTTCACAGTGTCTTCTTTCTTCTTCTTCTTCACTCCGTAAACATCCTCTTTTCTTCAACTTATTCCTGCCATGACTACTGCCGCTGAGAAGCTCCCTGTTCTGGTTGATGAAGATGGTGATGTGGAGATCTGAAACTCCGTGATTTCCCCCAAATGAAGCAGTAACAGAGACCGGCAAAGAGTGACGAAGGATGGCGGCACGAGACGCTAGAGGAAGCTTCTCAAACCGATGAATCCATCCGATGAACCCGTAACCCACACGGATTGAACCCGCTAAAACCCGAGTTCTTCGTCGGTCGGAAATGGCTCCTGATTTTTCTTAATCGGTTTCGGATGATTTTAAGAATTTTAATTTTGGTTGGTTTCGGATGATTTTAAGAATTTTAATTTTGGTCCGAAACCGACCGTGTCCGACCGATGCTCAGGCCTAAATTTGATGGACCACATACTCATCAACTTGTTCTTGTACACCCAAAATAAAGCATAATAAAGCATATGAGCAGTGCTTGTCACAGTGTATCAGACCAGTTCCAACAGAAACTGAGTAAGGGCTCAAAAAGATGTTGCATTAATCTCATTTTCGTAGACAAATACAAACAGTGCTTAATTTGATCACACAAAATGAGATGAAAATTGTTGGTACATAATTGTTTTGAAAATTCACCACGCAGAAACCAGCCTTCGTATACCAAACACAAATTACAGAAACTGGACACAAATAAAAAAATCAGTGATCAGGAGTGTGCAGTAGAACTGCTTGCATTGCTTCTTTCAACCATCCACCAAATTCGTAGATAAACATAGACATTGCTTTATTTGATTAATCCCACAAAATGGAATTAGAAGCCTTATTTACAGTTTTGATACAAACATAAATTACATAAACGTGAATACATAAATAGAGTGGTAATCAGGAGTGTGAAGTATACCTGTTTATTTGAAACTATAGAAATATACACTTGCTTCTTTCTTTAACCTTCCATTTCCCCTGAACCAATTAAACTTAGTATCTGTTTGGATACAATTATCAAGTTAAAAGTACTTTTTGAGCTTTACAACTTGAGAAAGAACTTAATTCTGCTGAAGTTATACCCAAACAAAGTCTTAAACAACAACTTGAACAAACTTGCTGGACGCCCACATTTTGGCAGCATCAGAGAGCTTGCTCCCTTCAACCTCGACCCTCCTCAAGCGAGAAGCGTTCTTGACAAACAACTCAACAGCCTCGGAGCCTATCCCTAAGCATTGCATAATATCCACATTCTCAAGGCTTTTGCAGCTCCTAAGCATGGAAGCCACAGCCACAGTAGTGAGCTCCTTGCACCCTCTCACCCTCAAATCAACCAAACAAACGCACGAAAACAACATGGACACAAACTCCTTGTCCAGCAACATTTCATTATGCGACAAGTCGAGCTTCCTCAACTTCCTCAAATGCTGCCCCAGAGTAGCCAGCAACCCAGGCTCCCTCTCCACCACGTCGCAGTTCACAAGCGCCAACTCCTCGAGCCCGCCGAAGCTCACGGCCAGGGCCTTCAGGCCCTCGCCGGAAACAAGGCAACAACTCTGAAGCCTGAGAACACTGAGCCCTCTCAAATACAAAGCCATGGCTAATAGATGGTCGTTGTTTAGGTCGAGAGGCAAACGAAGGTCGAGTTTGTGAAGCGTGGAGCGGGATTGAGAGAAGAATTGAAGCAAGCCCTCTCTGCTACCACCGTCGTGAACCAAGAGGGAGTTGAGAGAGGAAGAATGCTCCCGAAGCTCCAAGAGAATCGCGTAAACCACAGTCCTGCAGGTTCTGAGCTCGATTGAGTGGAGACCCTGTAGGCACTTGACGAAAGAGGAATAAGAGGCTCCAATTCCTTGGCAACTGTGAAGGCTTAGTTTCTTGAGGCTGGTGCATCTCTTGTACAACCAACCCAGCCCCCAATCATCGCCGCAAAGCCCCACCAGGGAAAGAGTCTCCAACGCCAACCCCAATTGGGATTCCGCATAAAAATGTTGACTTTCTTCGGGAGTGACGTGGGCTTGGTGGGAAGAGAAGGAGAGGGTTAATTGCTTGAGGCAGGGGAAGGAGAGGAGCCATGTGAGGGAAATGGGTCTGGGGAGGGTGATGGAGAGGGAGGTGAGGCGGGGGAGGGCGGAGGAGAGAGAGAGGAGGGAGGAGAGAGAAAGTGGGGCGGGGGAGAGAGTGAGAGAGAGGAGGTTGGGGCAGGAGGAGATGAGGGAGAGAAGGTGAGAGGAGGGTATGGGAGAGAGAGAGAGGGAGAGGGAGAGGGAAGAGAGGAAAGGGTGGTGGGAGAGGAAGGTTGAGAGAGAAGGGAGGAGGGAGGGGTGAGGGGAGAGGCGGAGGGAGAGGGAGGCTCTGGAGGACCGGAAGAGGCGGAGCCACCGCTTCGAGACCAGGGAGACGGAGGAGGAACAAGAGGAGGGAAGCTTCTGGAAGATTTCTTGCAGTACTTCATCGTACAGACTCTTCTCCATCTTTCTCCCTCCCTCTCTCTCTCGCTTGCAACGTCTCGTTTTTTAAGAGAGAGAGAAGGTTGATTAGGTAGAAGAAGAGAAGTGAGTTTGAAAGAGGCACCTTGCTTGCTTACACGCGCAGCTGCAGAGGACGTGGAACTCACGTCCTTACCTTGGAGCAAGAGGTTAAGTGCCGCTTAAAATTTGAAAAACAAATATATATAAATGATTTTATATGATTTAAGAGGCTGAGACTCGCCGATACCTTAAAAATTACATCAATGATTATTTTTATTAGTTGATTTAAGGGATTTTGGATCACCTCCTGCTCCTCTTGCCTCTCAAAAAATCTAAAATTGAGCTATCAAAAATATATAAGAAAACAAAAGGAAAGAATACAAAAAAATAGAAAAAGATTAAGATAATGGAGAATTGGAGAGAGCAGAGAGGTTGTGTGCCGGGAAAGATCTGGATCCATTTTGGATAATGTGGACAAGATTTTTACATTTAATGTTATTGCTTCCATATATGCGTCAAAAATAAAATAAAATAAAATAAACCTTACATAAAAATTAAATTCATATTAGTAAAAATATATTAAAAATAGAAAAGGATTAAGATAATGGAGAATTGGAGAGAGCAGAGAGGATTATGTGCTGGGAAAGATGTGGATCCATTTTGGATAATGTAGACAAGATTTTAAGATTTAATATTATTGATTCCATGTATGTATGCGTCAAAAATAAAATAAAATTAACCGTACAAAAAATTAAATTCGTGTGATGTAGTTAAAATTTAGTAAAAATATCTTTTAATAATATATATTTTTATCCTTTATAAACAAATTTAATAATTATAACTGAAATAATATATATATGAGGGTTTTCTCTAAAATAAAATAAATAAATAAATAAATATATATATATAGAAGGGTTCAAATGACACTAAGTATTATATCGCTCAATAATTTTATATTAAATGTAAATTTTATAAATCTAATGATTAGATTGAAAGTTTATGTATATCAAATTTTATTAAAATTGAACAATAACTTGGAATAGTTAAAGTGTTTAAATTTTGTTATATTTTAAAATATATTAAGTAATATAATATTTAATAAAATTACACTAGTATCTTTTGAACCCTCTTCATATATATATATAAGTTTACCCTTTCTTTTAAATCGGTTATAATAAATGAAATTCAATAACTTTTTACATGAAAATAATTAAAGTAGCTTCTAAGACATGAAAATAATTAAAGTGGATTTTATTTTTCTAACAAAATATTTTTATATATTTAATCAAAAATTGATTCCCTATTAACATGCAAGCTTAAAGACTCGTCAATATTTCTGTAAAAAAAAAGAAGAAAATCGTCTACGCCAAAAATTAAAAGGAAAATTTATATGCCACAGTCCAACGAAAACGAAATGTATTGGGTATTCCACCTGATCGTACTCTATCAATTTTTTAATTAATCACCCAAAAAAAAAAATGTCACAATTTGAACAAAACGATAGTTTCTTGTACGAGGGTTTTGAGTGTTGAAGTTCACGCTTCTTAGTGGACGCGAGTGGATTTTCTTCCTATAGCATGCCATGTCTTCTTCTCCAACCGGGTGTGTGACACCTTTCACAATATTATTCATTATCGAATATCAAAATCATGTTAACATATTTCTCCTTCACTATAACAACATAAAAGCTCCATTTCCTCTGTTTGATTTTGTGTTTATACTTTATTCACAGCCACACACAAGCTACCTGCGGGTAGAATGGAGGTTTTCATTTTAAATTTGTATTTAATATACAAGTAGTTCTAAATAAGCCACCGTTCGTTAGTCTTTTTATGTTTATCGTTTTCTTTATAATATAAAATTTTCATTAAAAAGAATTCCCTGACAATTTCTAGATGCTACTGTTATATTTTATCCATAAAATCTTTCTTATATTATCGACTTTATAGAAACAATTTACAAACAACTAATTGTTTTGATCATTCTGTCTCTAAATAATTTCAGGCATGATGAGGAAAAAACAATCTTAAAATATAAATCCTAAAAGTTTTAGATAATTACATGCTTTAGTTTTTAATTTTGACATTAACTTTCAACAATTGTAAAGTTAGCCTACTTTTTACAGAAACATAAAACACTTGAGAATTTAAATGATGATTATTGAAATTCTGAACAGGCAAAATATGCTTAAAAAACATGCTTATGAAGTAAGTGACATTTTAGTGGTGGAATGGAATCCAAGTCGAAAGCAAGAAAAGAATCTGAAAAAATAGGTGGTTAGTGGACATGGTGGATTGGTTGGTGGGGTCGTCCCATGCCTTGTGTTTTTTTCTCATCCACTAGTTAAAGAATCAGAGAAGAATGAAGACTGTTCCACATTCCAGAAGAACATCGTGAAATTTAACAAATTTATAGGATTATTTTGTATCGTAAGTGTCTAAGTGTTACAAAAAGGTATAAAGTCTCTCATCTACTTGGTATTACTTTAAAGTGGTTTATATAATAACTTGTGCCTTTAAAAGATTGTTAGCAAGAATCAATTTCACTTGTCTCTCTTGATGACATGAGAAAGGGCTAGATATGCATTATTGAAAGGATAAATTTTATAACTATATTTTATGTATTTATAAGAAAGTTTAACAAAATATTTTTTAAGGATTTTTATATTTTTTATGAGTGATGTATGATTTGCGGTATATATGTGATGAAATTACTTATTTGAGTGTTAAGTGGAGATATTTGTATGAGATTTTTGTGAGATCTCTACAACACTTATGAATATCAAACGTGCAAAGTCTAAAAGTGCATCAAAGTGGTAACAATAAAAATTATGGGAATTTATTATGATTGGTTAATCTATAATACTCGTCAAATGTTTTGTATTCAATAACTTGCTTCACTCACTATATAGTGTGTTATGTTTTATTAGTTTAGATCTAGTTCAATAACTTGTTACATCTAGTCCAATACATTACATCCCATATTGGAATCCAAAACCTTGTTTTCCCTTCTTTAAAAATATTTTCTTTACCTTTTGTAAAATATGGGGATTGTTGTAAATATATAAGTGTTAAGTCAAAAGAAGGTCTTGGATTTGACAAATTTCTAGAACTTTATTGTTAACAAAACGAAATATTTTGACAAGAGAAAATGTCTTTGAAAATGTTTATCAAATGAAGTGTAAAATGCAAATCATCTGTAAGACGCAGATTGTCTACAAGATGATGTGAACCAAATAGAATAACATATAGTTTATCTCATTCATTAAATGTTCATTATTTATTGAGACTAACGAAAAAAATCATTTGAATATTTTATTCCTTAATAGATCAAAATAGAAAATCATCTTGGAACTTACAAATCTGTTAAAGAGAACAAAATCATACTTTATGTCAAGACAAAGGACGAAGATCCTGAAATCATGGAGAAAAACAGATAAAGTCTTTATTGTTGCTACTATGTGTTGAGATTGCTTCTGTAAGCTCCGTTTGGTATAGAAAGATGATAAGTAGCTTCCTTAATTGAATAAGAGGTACCATTTGATGAAATGCATTTAATATTTGTATAAAATGAGTCAACGATTACCTCTCATCGTAAGGAAAGACATTGAAGATGAACAAAGCAAAATTGTGAGCTAAATTCAAAGAGTTGCAACAATTATCTTCTCCAAGCTAGTATATAAAGAAGACTTGAAGCTTAGAAAAGAAGACAAAACACATAGATACACTTGTACAGAAACATACACACTATATAAATTATACTTGTGTATAATCTTTATGCTTTCTTGCAAAAGCTTACTACACTATATAGGTTGTATAATATCTAAGTGAGACGAAAATAACAATGATAAAAAGAGTTTTATAACGAATTCATCAGGATACAATATCAATCAAGAGGTGAATCAAAGTCAGAGTAGCTTAGCCTTTCTCTCTAGTTCGATGGTGATGATTCTTGAACCCTTTCTTCAAATTATCCACAAGGGATCAAAAGATTCTTTCATAAAGAAAACATATAATTTCATGGAGCTTTTTTCTTGTAGGAGATTTCACAAAGTTAAGAGTATTTTTGGTTTTTTGTTTTGAGTTCAAAAACTGATATTTATATAACTCTCCAACTAAAATAATCAATTATTTTCATAGATAATCAATTATTTTGTTCTTGGTAAATCTGAAAACCATTTGAGAACATTTTAATCAATTATTTATTAGAATAATCGATTGTTATAGAGTGTTGACTCTAAAATAATTGATTATTGCACAATGATAATCAATTGTTATAGTGAGCTTTTCAAAATGAGAAAACACGACATAAGTGATCAATTATTATAAGTAGATAATCGATTATTTTGAGTGACAGACTCAAATTCTCGATTTTTCAAGTTTAAAATCAGTTTAAAAATCTTTTCATAATCAAACATCACCTAACAACAGATATATGACTAATTTACTCATAATGCACAAAGCAAACATGCCTAATAAAATATAAACACAAATCAATACAATTTGCACTCTCTTAAACATGAGAGACATTATTTGTAATCAACAAAATAAACTAAGTCTTCATTATGAGTTTGGTCAACAAACACACTTTCTTTTATGATGACAAATATTTCAATACTTAAAGTTCTTCTCATGCCGTGATCAAATCAAATGTATGATTTTGCTTTCACTATTGCTTACCATTGTGCATAACTTCTAAACTTTTAAACTTCTAAAACTTGCACAACAATAACAAACTACCTTTTCTCTCCCTTTGGGTATCATCAAAAATAGAACAAGAGCCCAAAATTATAGAGAAATAACATATAAATTACAGATTTTGCATTCATTCATACATGATAATGTCGGTGAAAACTTTCAAACATACAACCATGTACATATCACAATTTTATATCAACACTATATGACCAAAATTATAATCAAACTCAAGAAAATTTAAGCTAAAATAAACATGCATTAAAGTTGAAATTGTTCAGAAATTAAAAATATCACAACCCATAAAATTGTTTAAACCTTAAACCGATTAAAAACTTAGAAAAACAACTAAGCTAACAAACTAGACCCAATAGCTAGACTAAATAACTAAACCAATAACCAAAGGATCCTAAGAATTAAGTAACTAATCTGAGTTGTCCTCTATGCCTAGATGGT